TATACGCACCTTCAAGAGCCTGGGTCAATTTTTCCACCTCTTGGGTGTATTGATTAGCTGTTTTGCTCTTTTTCTGCAAATTAGGAAGTTTTGCAGATATGACGTCTACAGATTCTCCTTTTACAGCTTTGGTTAGTTGATTTATAATGGCAAGAATTGTCTGCTCATTACTTATCATATTTCTAGCGTGGCCCTTCAGTTTAGTCTTTATTATGCTTACTGCAGTTAGTTCGTGAGTGCCTTTTAAGGAATCTATTAGATTCAATGCATCCAAGAAACTTTGTAGGTTTTCGGCCTTTCCATCGAACTCTGGTAAGAGTGACGAGGCTAATTTTAAAAACTCTACAACTGTCTGAGCCATGTTTACTAATTTTGTGTCTTCTACTTGGTCGTTTGTCAGGAGTGACTTATCAAATGTTACCGGCGTGTTTAATGCCGATGGTAAATAAAGCTGGAGATTGTACTTTTCGTTCAAGCTTACCAGGTTATCCCTTAGACGTTGTAAAATGTCTGAAGTTTGGACTCTGTGTAAGCTTGTGAGTTTATGCTGCCACTCCTCAAATAAACTCCTGATTTCATTGTATTCATATACCGAATCTCAGTGTGTTTAGTTATGGTTGGTTGCAAAACTGGTGCGCTCTTATTTAGGCACTTATATGATTTGTCGAAATTCGATCTATGCAGCTTTATTTTTTCTACTATTTGGGGCCAGTCCATGTGGACTTCCCCTAATTAAATATTTGTATTTAGGCAGCGGCTTAGACCTTGTCTAAGTCGTTGGCTCTACATATGTAACGAGTCCTCAGTGATTTTTTATGCAGAAAATAAATCTTCAGAAAGATGTTTGCTGAGGCTATTACAATGAGTATTGTTAGCAGTATGTTTGTTAACTGCACATGGGGAGTTGTGTCTACAACTTCAACCACGTTAACTACATTGGCAGTGTTATCATCTGCCTTTGATTGTTTTCCCCCCATATTCCTATATAATGACTCTTGCTTTTTGTTTTGAATACTACCTATGCAGACGTACAAAGACAATTGTTGTCTGCCCAAGAATCGGATGCTCGTCAATAATTGTTTTTATTTTGACGTAGGGAAGGTCGACAAGATTATTCCACAATCTATTTTAGAGCATGAATAGAGTGGACTTGTTACTGTGCCGGATTTTTCTATATATTCGGATTCGAACTCATATACTGATATGAATTCTCTATGCCTTTGCAAAATTTGTATGGCTCGGCATACGAAAGTCCGTATAGTCGTTGTATACTTTGTTAATTTTGTCTTCAATCATGACTAATTTATGTACATAATTGTTGAAACACCTAATGAGGCAAACGGAGCATTTATTTCTGTCATAGTTTTATTTATTTTTTTTAGTATTAAAAAAAATTTTTTTTTTGGAATTTTTGGAGTGGCCATACAAATACGAAATAGATGTATCTAATTTTTTTTTAATTTTTTTTTTTAATTTATATATAAGTTCATTGGGGATCTTATGCCAAATATATATGGGTTATTTTGAGATTCAAATTCGGTTTTACTTATTTTATTATCCTCATACATGGGATAATTAATGTTTTTACAGTATCCTACCTATCGGTTCGCATAGCTTTACGGGCTATGCTTCTAATCGGGCAGAAATGATTCTGCTCTCAATTTTACAAATTGTATATATTTATAATTTAAAATAATATTTGTATGTTCGCAGCATCTGCTGTTCGTCGCTGCATCAGCTGGGCGTCGCCGGATGTGGCACGCTGATGCTCCCTCGTTGGCGCAAGTGGCGGAGTGCCTCCCGCACTTATCTCGATGGCACAGCTTGTTGCGCTGACGGTACCGGTGCTGGTCTTCGCACAGGTTGTTGTTTGCCAGCTTTACTGGCTAGCGGGGCCGGTGCTGGTCTTCTTCCGTTGGCAAGTATACTTGCAATGGATGCTGTAGAGTGGTCCCTCGCAGTCTGCTGGGCATGTTTGTTTCATCTTTGGGATCTGAGACGGTGGTGGTGGTATTATTACTTGTTTCTTACATATATTACTGATGGAGCGGTGAGTTGCGTCAACGGAATTCTTTTTTATCAGGCTAGATTTTAAGAAATCTAATTCTGCTTGTAGCTTTTGGGCTGTTGCCCAAGTAGGTGGTGGTGATTTTGTGTATAATAGCCACTTAATGTGGGCTATTCTTTTATTTATTTTAGTTTTCTGACCACCGCTGTGTTTTCCCATTGGCGCACTCTACTCAGTCAGTAATTTGTATTTTTCCGGTCCACGATCCTCGTCATCTGCCTCCAGGCAGGGATTTATTTATCCTCTTTTCTTTGTGTTCGACTGCCTCCAGGCAGGGATTTATTTATCCTCTTTTCTTTGTGTTCGACTGCCTCCAGGCAGGGATTTATTTATCCTCTTGTTTTTCTACTGCCTCCAGGCAGGGAATCGTGGTCCTGTCACGGTCGCCATGTAATGATGATATCTTCCACTTGTATAGTATTGTAAGTGTTCCACTTATAAATGTTTCAAACTGATAGATAAAGGCACGTCAGTGCTGTTTTGCATTGTTCATAAGAATGATTTTATTCTGAGTCAATATAATCACTAACCAAAAAACATATAGACTGGACATGCCGTGTACAATAGGTGGTCTCCAAAAATTGGTTTGCATCTGGTCCAACGAGCGAGTAAGATATACATATGACATCTTTTGATCGCTCACACTACAGGAAACTCCTTTGACTTACTCTCTTCCATATGATTTGTGCGATAGAACGGCATCGCTGTTTTTTATCTCGCTCCCACTACAGGAAACTGCTTTGGCTTACTCTCTTCCATATAATTTGTGCGATAGAACGGCATCGCTGTTTATTTTTATCTCGCTCGCACTTACTCTCAGTGCTCTCAATGCTCTCTTTATGTCTAGGTACCGTTTAAATGTTTGTGTGTGCATGTGGCCGCACAAGCAAAAATGCCCACAAATTCAATTTTTGTCAAAAGTCGGTGGCATTTCTTCCCTTTTGAGGGGACGAGTAATATGAAATCATGAAAGGGTTTGCCAAGTCGATGCGAAATTCTTTCATTTTAGCTCGGTATTGCTGGAAAGGGTACCTAAGCGTTGGCATGTGTGCATTTTAAAGTTTTTGGACTTGCTATTCACGCATACTTGCGTATTTTGTATTTGAATAGAAGCATTTATGCGCATGTGTGCCTGTTGGTCCCTGCCTGCCTGTCCGATCCAAATTTGACAATATTTTGTGATTTCTGAATTTCGAGCTCTGCGCACACACAGACACAAATGTGTGTGAATGGGCAGATCATGGGCGCAAAAGAAAATATCATTTTTGGCCCGCGGTTGTCGCGCACCCTTCTTTTTATAATTTTGGGGTTGAATCGATGAAAAAATGTTGACCCCTCAATACCTGCAGATCCAATTCATATACATATGAAAAAGCTAAATATTTAAAGACAATAAAATTATGAATACTATAAATATATAATTGCTCTTATTTTGTATTTGGTATATTTGAATATTTTAAAGATTTTATTTTTTACACAATTTTCCTAAAACTAGTTAAGTGATCAGTCACTTGACCTACATATGCAGGTACAGGTGCTTGGCAAAATTTTACCCTTTCCACCCAACGGGCTGCTGCAGGGGTTCAAACCCAACATCATAAAAAGAAGGGTGCGTGACAACCGCAGGCCAAAAATGATATTTTCTTTTGCGCCCATGATCTGCCCATTCACACACATTTGTGTCTGTGTGTGTGTGTGCGCAGAGCTCGAAATTCAGAAATCACAAAATATTGTGAAATTTGGATCGGACAGGCAGGCAGGGACCAACAGGCACACATGCGCATAAATGCTTCTATTCAAATACAAAATACGCAAGTATGCGTGAATAGCAAGTCCAAAAACTTTAAAATGCACACATGCCAACGCTTAGGTACCCTTTCCAGCAATACCGAGCTAAAATGAAAGAATTTCGCATCGACTTGGCAAACCCTTTCATGATTTTATATTACTCGTCCCCTCAAAAGGGTAGAAATGCCACCGACTTTTGACAAAAATTGAATTTGTGGGCATTTTTGCTTGTGCGGCCACATGCACACACAAACATTTAAACGGTACCTAGACATAAAGAGAGCATTGAGAGCACTGAGAGTAAGTGCGAGCGAGATAAAAATAAACAGCGATGCCGTTCTATCGCACAAATTATATGGAAGAGAGTAAGCCAAAGCAGTTTCCTGTAGTGGGAGCGAGATAAAAAACAGCGATGCCGTTCTATCGCACAAATCATATGGAAGAGAGTAAGTCAAAGGAGTTTCCTGTAGTGTGAGCGATCAAAAGATGTCATATGTATATCTTACTCGCTCGTTGGACCAGATGCAAACCAATTTTTGGAGACCACCTATTGTACACGGCATGTCCAGTCTATATGTTTTTTGGTTAGTGATATAATGCACTAAGCCTATGGATACATGTATACCACTTACCAAATAACATATAGATGGGACATGCCGTACTAGAAATTTGGACACCAAAAAAAATATGCATCTGGTCCAACGAGCGAGTAAGATATACATATGATATCTTTTGATCGCTCACACTACAGGAAACTCCTTTGGCTTACTCACTTCCATATGATAAAAGAAAGAGCGAGATAAAAATAAACAGCGATTCCGTTCTATCGCACAAATCATATGGAAAGTTCGTTTTTTTTTGCGATGATTTATCGATAGAAATATCGGTGTTGTGAAAAATGTGAATGTGTTCATTATCATAAACAGCTGATATTGCAACGAAGGCAAGCGGTAACTTTAAATTATAATTTTAAATTTTAATATTCCCACAGTTCTGAATATTTAAAATTGGCCATATCCCGAAAAGAGTCCATTAAATGAAGCCCCTACTTCGGGGCCGTATTACTTGACTTGGAAGGAAATCTTTGCGGCGCATATGTAAATTAAAGCAAGTCGATCAGCTGCTTATGTAAAGAAGCGGCACTTTTGCAACTCGCATGTTACCGACAGCCGATGGAGCACCAATATGTGAAATTTGAAATTGTGACATTTCTTAAGCATAGTGGACAAAGGCTATAAGGCTATTAAAATTTTTGCCATGCCAGCATCTTCCCATTAATTTCAACATATCTGAGAGATGCTCCTATCCTACACTGTTCCATACAATATTTAGCCGATTATGTTTTGTATATCCGTAAACAATCGTCAAGCCATTTTAAAAGTTTATTTAAAATGTCTGACGAGCGTGCAAGTAAGTATTGAAGACAATATGATATATTTATATTTATTTAATTTTTGTGTCTATGGGTGTAAATTCCCACATATATGTATATGTATGTAAATGAAGATGTCAGAGCAGATTAAGCAATCCGGGTGCACTGGGGGATGGACTCACATCCAATCTAAATTGAATAACCTCACCCGGAAATTTGAGTAAGATTTTATGTTGCAGTGGAAAATAGATTAATTGAATATATTTCTGACAAGAAAAACAATACAATTGGACCGAGTAGAGGAGCTCCATATACATGGGTCCATAATAAATTGACCAAATATTAGGCTCGTTTAAGAGCTATGCTGCTGTCACGGTGGATAACCATGGTAAGTTGTAATAATAGTGTTTAATTATTTGGTTGGTATGCGTATTATATTTTGCATATTTTACCGAGTACCTTCAAATATACAACAGTTGCCAATTTTATTATTAATTCATATTTTTGGGGCTTTTTTTGACAACTATCAGTTGTAAATATGTTAGTTGTTCGAAGTTAGCAATGTGAACGCAGTTTCACATCTTCATTTCATTAGTTTCCCGAAAATATACTCAGTGTAAATTGACCATTACTTGCGACTGCAAGTATCCACATTAAAAATATTGGATTTAAGTCCATGATCTATAAAAACAGTAGTAGACGCTATCATGCACCCGATTTTTGAATGAACTAATAATTCAGTTCGCATAAGCATTCGTTGCACGTGACATTATTGGCAGCATCGATAGTTTGGGTAGTTTTTTTGCATTCTTTATTATCGGCCACGCCGATATCTTGTCAGAGTATCAGGGGTGAAGCCGCCACACAGCGTCTTCTTCTTCCAATTAATGGAAGAGTGGCAACGCCGGGCTTGCGATCCACGGTTCCGAAAGGGGAACGAAATGTTATTGTCCGCCCGATTCGGTCCTAAAGAGATTATAGGGAGAGCGGATCGCATGCACTAATGGCCTTGGCCTTCATTGGGGCCCGTTGACCCAAGAATGCAGCTGTGCATATGGGCAGCAACGGTGACCACCAAATGTATGCGTGTGCCGAAATTCGGCACCGATGATGTTGATGCCCAACAATTTATAGCAGTGGAGTTCGACTTGGTCAGCGGTTAACGGCAGGCGTGTTGTGCACAAACGCACCTTTGAGATAAATTTAAAGAACCCATAAATTAACATTATGTAATGCAAATAGAAATAGAACAGACATACCTGCAGCAGCCTGTTGGGCCGAAAGGGCCCAAGCACCTGGACCAGCATATGAAGGTCAAGTGACTGATCACTTAAATAATTTAAGGACCAGCGGAAATTTGTGAAAAAAATGAAATCTTTAAAATTTTCAAATATACCAAATACAAAAAAGGAGCGATTATATATTTATAGTATTAATAATTTTATTGGCTTTTTCATATATGATTTTGATCTGCAGGTAATAAGGGGTCAACATTCATTTAACCATTCAAACCCAAAATCTAGTGCCAGTAATGATATTTTCTTTTGCGCCCATGATCTGCCCATTCACACATTCGAAATTCAGAAATCACAAAATATTGTCAAATTTGCATCGGACAGGCTGGCAGGGACCAACAGGCACACATGCGCATAAATGCTTCTATTCATATACAAAATATGCAAGTATGCGTGAATAGCAAGTCCAAAAACTTTAAAATGCACACATGCCAACGCTTAGGTACCCTTTCCAACAATAACGAGCTAAAATGCAAGAATTTCGTTTTCATTATTTTCATTATTTCATATTACTGTCCATTCAAAAGGGAAGATATTTGAGAAAAATTTAATTTGTGGGCATTTTTGCTTGTGCGGACACACACACACAAACATTTAAACGGTACCTAGACATAAAGAGAGCATTGAGAGCACTGAGAGTAAGTGCAAGCGAGATAAAAATAAACAGCGATGCCGTTCTATCGCACAAATCATATGGAAGAGAGTAAGCCAAAGCTGTTTCCTGTAGTGTAAGCGATCAAAAGACATCATATGTATATCTTACTCGCTCGTTGGACCAGATGTACCGATATTTTTTGTGTCCACTTTGGTGACACGGCATGTCCCATCTATATGTTCTTTGGTTAGTGATTCAAGCGATGTATGTATCGATAGAATAAGGGAATTTATCGATGTCGGAAATAAGGCAACATCAATAAAAAGGAGGAAAGACGGCACTAATGTTTGAGCGGTTGAACTGAGTGGAAATTAAGAAAAATTGTAGCATAAAGATAAAATAAGAAAAGAGTACGAACTTTACAAATCAGGTGTGGGGTTTGCCCAGTAAATCAAATTGTAAATATAGAAAAGGTGGATAATTTGGTCGATGCGGCGGTTCCAAACTAACATGTTGAGAATGTGGCCTGTTAGCAGATTTCGAGACAAGCAACGCCGACAACGTGGCGCCGGCCTCCGATGAAATTCTGGTAAGAAACAAAATAGCAGAACAACCGTTATGTACAGCACAAAACTTGAACAACGCAAATGCAGACTAATTATGCGAAATAGCGGAAAACTATGTGACCGATGTGACTCGCACTGAGTCAGTGCAAAAAGATGCTTTGAGCATTAAAGATGTTGAAGCTTTGGTACGTGCTTCCTCTGGTGACGATAACTAACCTGTGTCAATTTGGACACGCGATTTCGAGGATATTATGGACCTCCACAAAGTAAACTTGATGAAACGATTTATTTATGCTAAACATCTGCTGGCCGGATCTGCCCAATTATATATGAACAATACTGGAATCTTAACTTGGAAGGACATGACAGAGGAGTTAATCCATATCTTTTAGGGTTAGGGTGAAAACTTGGGGCATTGGGAAGCAGATGGAGTTAAGAAAAAAGAAAAAAAAGAAGAAAGCACTCTTCAGTATTTCGTTGCGATGTGCAGCATAGCTGTGCAAGCAGAGTTGGCAACGAATGACGTCATTCAGTTCATTGTGAAGGGACTGCAATTATCTTGGCGCTAACAGGCGCTGCTGCATTTTTGATTTATTGTACATCGCTGGATGAACTGCTTGAAAAGCTCCTCAATCGATCAGTTTCGTGAAAAGCCAGCAGTTGCTGTTGCTAGTGCTGAAGGTAGCGGAAATACTAAGCCGAGGACATCTTTGGTTCAACAAGAAATAAGGTGCTTTAACTGCCGTCAGTTGGGGCATCGGATAACTGATTGTAAGCAGCCAAAAAGACCCGAGGGAGCCTGCTTCAAATGTTGGAGCACCGAGCATCAGTATCGTCAGTATCGACGACAGGGGGTTAATGGCTGCACAGTGATGCTACAAGAAGAATCCAAATCTGGAGAAAAATTAGAGGAGTGTACGACAATCGCTGTAACGCAGCTGTTTGATTTATGAGTAGCGCCTGGTGAGCAGAGATATTATATTCGTGCTTTTATTGATACCGGTAGTCCAGTAAGTTTCATTGATGAATCATAAGTTTCACAATCTTTAGTATTAAGACCATGCTTTGAAAAATATTATGGATTAGGAGGAAATATTATCCCAATAAAGGCCAGATTGATTTTATTTTATGTGGTAAGATCCAAAGTATTACCCAGCAACGTGTTATTCGGCCGTGATTTCTTGACAAAAATGAATATTAAATTAGTTTATCAAAATAAAATGAAAAACGCAAATGATAATAATCAATCTTTGTTCACCAATACTATTGATAATGGGAAAATAAATAATCTACCGTCTAACAAAATAACTTCAGACACCAGTCCATTGCAGCCGACGTGTAACAATGAAAGCGACAACATTAATGAATTTTGCGCAAATATTGATACTTAAATAAATGAAGAGTATAATGTCGGGCCAGGTTTTGGCAAGCAGGCAACTGACGAATATACTGTACTGATAGATCAAGATATTTGAGTAGCAAAAGTGACAATACCACACGTCAGAGACAGCAGATGACTATTAGATTAACTGATACAACACCATTTCATTGTACACCCAGACGTCTTATTATTAAAGAGAGATAGTGGCCGAAATTGTTGAGGACTTATTAAAAAAAAATATAATACGGCCTAGTGCGGCTCCATATGCATCTCCCATTGTTCTAGTAAAAAAGAAATCGGGAGAGATTCATATGTGTGTTGATTATAGAGACCGTAATTAACATACTGTTCGTGATATTTTATTTATTTATTTACTTATTCAATACTAGCGGGTATAACCCGGCCTTGCCCGTGGCACGTATGTTATAAAATCAATGTTCTCAAACAAATTCGAAATGATTTTGAAACTGATCGGACGGTAAACAAATAACTTTCTGTTTGTGATGGAGGCGTCGGATCAGTAAAAATAGTCGTCTTCAAATCAAACAATGATTTTTTTCTTTAAATTGTAGTAGTTTTTATTTCACTTGTGGCTGCATATAATGAACTTTACATTAGAAGTGATTTGCATTTTCTTGTGTCAAAACGGTTGAGGTGGAGTGGAGATTGTGGGGAGAGTTCTGAGCGTACTTTGGATCCTATTTGAGAGTGAGTCTCTCTCAGTGAGTGAGTCTGTCTCACTGAGTGACTCTCTTACACTGAGTGAGGGTCAGTCAATACTGTGTTCAGACTAGCAATGAACTGGCATGAACATTCTCCCCCCCCCTGGCAATATGCAGATTGCAAGGATTCCTATTGCGTGCATGTGCCAGAGAGTATCCATCCAAACTTAGTATTTTGAGCCATCGGCAGACCGCCTTGGCGCCGAGTACCAAAGGTACTGGAGATGGACGGAACCAGTCGTTGTCCGCCAAAGCGACGTTGCTAAACGGGTCCTTCATGTGCGCTCTGATAGCTCGGGCTGGAGTTATGCAGCTGAGTTGCGGGTCAGCCATTAAGACCACCTCTCGAGACATCTGAGTTGTCTTGGAGCGTAGCACGGCTGTGCACGCTCCTTCTGCGCCAATGCGTGTGACGGAAAGGCCATAGGCCCTTGCCACGGTTGCATTAATGCGGCTTACTGAACAACATGGATCGATCAGAGCCCGAGTCACAAGGGTCTTTTTCCCGGTGTCGAGCAGCACTATGGCGGGGGGCAGTATACTGACCCCCTTGTGCTGGAGAAGGGACGTAAGCGACGTCCGTATAATAGCACGTCTCGGGCTTGGGGGTGATGTGCCGCTGGAGGGCGAGGAGCCAGAAGCTCTTCTTGTGGGCCTGTTGTCTGACCGAGAGGGTCGAGCGCTGCGGGGATCACGCATGTGGAGTAAGGTGTGGTGGTCCTTTTTGCAAATTTTGCACTTGGCTCCACTGCGACATGATTCCCCTGAATGCTGATGAGCCAGGCAGTTGGAGCAATATTTGTTAATCAAAACGGCTCGGAGACGCTTCTCGGGCGTGAGCTTCAAGAAGCGCTGGCACTTGCGTAGCGCATGGATGCCTCTACACACCCGGCATCTAAAACAGTCCGTTCCTTGGCGTTGATTGGATGCCTTCGCTGACGGTGCCATGCTGGTTCTCTGCAGAGGTGTGAACTGGAGAATAAGATGTAGGAAAGGTGTTATTATATGATGGTTTTGTTTTGAAAGAGGGATTAGTTGCCTTTAAGGATTAGTCGGTGGTGTTATTTGCCTCAGTAGGAAGAAGGACCAATTTGGCTATTGGCCTTCGGATGACACAACGAGCGGTAAGCACGTCCACTACGCGGACCTTATCATCTGTGCCTGGGCAAGCCAGCTGGACTCGGCCACGGCGCCATTCATTTATTGGTAGGTTATCTTCCTTGATAATCACCATATCACCGACTTGGAGGTCCCTTGTAGGGGACTGCCATTTGTTTCGCTTATGGAGCTCTTTTAAAAATTCTTTTTTATCAGGCTAGATTTTAAGAAATCTAATTCTGCTTGTAGCTTTTGGGCTGTTGCCCAAGTAGGTGGTGGTGATTTTGTGTATAATAGCCACTTAATGTGGGCTATTCTTTTATTTATTTTAGTTTTCTGACCACCGCTGTGTTTTCCCATTGGCGCACTCTACTCAGTCAGTAATTTGTATTTTTCCGGTCCACGATCCTCGTCATCTGCCTCCAGGCAGGGATTTATTTATCCTCTTTTCTTTGTGTTCGACTGCCTCCAGGCAGGGATTTATTTATCCTCTTTTCTTTGTGTTCGACTGCCTCCAGGCAGGGATTTATTTATCCTCTTGTTTTTCTACTGCCTCCAGGCAGGGAATCGTGGTCCTGTCACGGTCGCCATGTAATGATGATATCTTCCACTTGTATAGTATTGTAAGTGTTCCACTTATAAATGTTTCAAACTGATAGATAAAGGCACGTCAGTGCTGTTTTGCATTGTTCATAAGAATGATTTTATTCTGAGTCAATATAATCACTAACCAAAAAACATATAGACTGGACATGCCGTGTACAATAGGTGGTCTCCAAAAATTGGTTTGCATGTGGTCCAACGAGCGAGTAAGATATACATATGACATCTTTTGATCGCTCACACTACAGGAAACTCCTTTGACTTACTCTCTTCCATATGATTTGTGCGATAGAACGGCATCGCTGTTTTTTATCTCGCTCCCACTACAGGAAACTGCTTTGGCTTACTCTCTTCCATATAATTTGTGCGATAGAACGGCATCGCTGTTTATTTTTATCTCGCTCGCACTTACTCTCAGTGCTCTCAATGCTCTCTTTATGTCTAGGTACCGTTTAAATGTTTGTGTGTGCATGTGGCCGCACAAGCAAAAATGCCCACAAATTCAATTTTTGTCAAAAGTCGGTGGCATTTCTTCCCTTTTGAGGGGACGAGTAATATGAAATCATGAAAGGGTTTGCCAAGTCGATGCGAAATTCTTTCATTTTAGCTCGGTATTGCTGGAAAGGGTACCTAAGCGTTGGCATGTGTGCATTTTAAAGTTTTTGGACTTGCTATTCACGCATACTTGCGTATTTTGTATTTGAATAGAAGCATTTATGCGCATGTGTGCCTGTTGGTCCCTGCCTGCCTGTCCGATCCAAATTTGACAATATTTTGTGATTTCTGAATTTCGAGCTCTGCGCACACACACACACAGACACAAATGTGTGTGAATGGGCAGATCATGGGCGCAAAAGAAAATATCATTTTTGGCCTGCGGTTGTCACGCACCCTTCTTTTTATGATGTTGGGTTTGAACCCCTGCAGCAGCCCGTTGGGTGGAAAGGGTAAAATTTTGCCAAGCACCTGTACCTGCATATGTAGGTCAAGTGACTGATCACTTAACTAGTTTTAGGAAAATTGTGTAAAAAATAAAATCTTTAAAATATTCAAATATACCAAATACAAAATAAGAGCAATTATATATTTATAGTATTCATAATTTTATTGTCTTTAAATATTTAGCTTTTTCATATGTATATGAATTGGATCTGCAGGTATTGAGGGGTCAACATTTTTTCATCGATTCAACCCCAAAATTAAAAAAAGAAGGGTGCGCGACAACCGCGGGCCAAAAATGATATTTTCTTTTGCGCCCATGATCTGCCCATTCACACACATTTGTGTCTGTGTGTGTGTGTGCGCAGAGCTCGAAATTCAGAAATCACAAAATATTGTGAAATTTGGATCGGACAGGCAGGCAGGGACCAACAGGCACACATGCGCATAAATGCTTCTATTCAAATACAAAATACGCAAGTATGCGTGAATAGCAAGTCCAAAAACTTTAAAATGCACACATGCCAACGCTTAGGTACCCTTTCCAGCAATACCGAGCTAAAATGAAAGAATTTCGCATCGACTTGGCAAACCCTTTCATGATTTCATATTACTCGTCCCCTCAAAAGGGAAGAAATGCCACCGACTTTTGACAAAAATTGAATTTGTGGGCATTTTTGCTTGTGCGGCCACATGCACACACAAACATTTAAACGGTACCTAGACATAAAGAGAGCATTGAGAGCACTGAGAGTAAGTGCGAGCGAGATAAAAATAAACAGCGATGCCGTTCTATCGCACAAATTATATGGAAGAGAGTAAGCCAAAGCAGTTTCCTGTAGTGGGAGCGAGATAAAAAACAGCGATGCCGTTCTATCGCACAAATCATATGGAAGAGAGTAAGTCAAAGGAGTTTCCTGTAGTGTGAGCGATCAAAAGATGTCATATGTATATCTTACTCGCTCGTTGGACCACATGCAAACCAATTTTTGGAGACCACCTATTGTACACGGCATGTCCAGTCTATATGTTTTTTGGTTAGTGATATAATGCACTAAGCCTATGGATACATGTATACCACTTACCAAATAACATATAGATGGGACATGCCGTACTAGAAATTTGGTCACCAAAAAAAATATGCATCTGGTCCAACGAGCGAGTAAGATATACATATGATATCTTTTGATCGCTCACACTACAGGAAACTCCTTTGGCTTACTCACTTCCATATGATAAAAGAAAGAGCGAGATAAAAATAAACAGCGATTCCGTTCTATCGCACAAATCATATGGAAAGTTCGTTTTTTTTTGCGATGATTTATCGATAGAAATATCGGTGTTGTGAAAAATGTGAATGTGTTCATTATCATAAACAGCTGATATTGCAACGAAGGCAAGCGGTAACTTTAAATTATAATTTTAAATTTTAATATTCCCACAGTTCTGAATATTTAAAATTGGCCATATCCCGAAAAGAGTCCATTAAATGAAGCCCCTACTTCGGGGCCGTATTACTTGACTTGGAAGGAAATCTTTGCGGCGCATATGTAAATTAAAGCAAGTCGATCAGCTGCTTATGTAAAGAAGCGGCACTTTTGCAACTCGCATGTTACCGACAGCCGATGGAGCACCAATATGTGAAATTTGAAAATGTGACATTTCTTAAGCATAGTGGACAAAGGCTATAAGGCTATTAAAATTTTTGCCATGCCAGCATCTTCCCATTAATTTCAACATATCTGAGAGATGCTCCTATCCTACACTGTTCCATACAATATTTAGCCGATTATGTTTTGTATATCCGTAAACAATCGTCAAGCCATTTTAAAAGTTTATTTAAAATGTCTGACGAGCGTGCAAGTAAGTATTGAAGACAATATGATATATTTATATTTATTTAATTTTTGTGTCTATGGGTGTAAATTCCCACATATATGTATATGTATGTAAATGAAGATGTCAGAGCAGATTAAGCAATCCGGGTGCACTGGGGGATGGACTCACATCCAATCTAAATTGAATAACCTCACCCGGAAATTTGAGTAAGATTTTATGTTGCAGTGGAAAATAGATTAATTGAATATATTTCTGACAAGAAAAACAATACAATTGGACCGAGTAGAGGAGCTCCATATACATGGGTCCATAATAAATTGACCAAATATTAGGCTCGTTTAAGAGCTATGCTGCTGTCACGGTGGATAACCATGGTAAGTTGTAATAATAGTGTTTAATTATTTAGTTGGTATGCGTATTATATTTTGCATATTTTACCGAGTACCTTCAAATATACAACAGTTGCCAATTTTATTATTAATTCATATTTTTGGGGCTTTTTTTGACAACTATCAGTTGTAAATATGTTAGTTGTTCGAAGTTAGCAATGTGAACGCAGTTTCACATCTTCATTTCATTAGTTTCCCGAAAATATACTCAGTGTAAATTGACCATTACTTGCGACTGCAAGTATCCACATTAAAAATATTGGATTTAAGTCCATGATCTATAAAAACAGTAGTAGACGCTATCATGCACCCGATTTTTGAATGAACTAATAATTCAGTTCGCATAAGCATTCGTTGCACGTGACATTATTGGCAGCATCGATAGTTTGGGTAGTTTTTTTGCATTCTTTATTATCGGCCACGCCGATATCTTGTCAGAGTATCAGGGGTGAAGCCGCCACACAGCGTCTTCTTCTTCCAATTAATGGAAGAGTGGCAACGCCGGGCTTGCGATCCACGGTTCCGAAAGGGGAACGAAATGTTATTGTCCGCCCGATTCGGTCCTAAAGAGATTATAGGGAGAGCGGATCGCATGCACTAATGGCCTTGGCCTTCATTGGGGCCCGTTGACCCAAGAATGCAGCTGTGCATATGGGCAGCAACGGTGACCACCAAATGTATGCGTGTGCCGAAATTCGGCACCGATGATGTTGATGCCCAACAATTTATAGCAGTGGAGTTCGACTTGGTCAGCGGTTAACGGCAGGCGTGTTGTGCACAAACGCAGCTTTGAGATAAATTTAAAGAACCCATAAATTAACATTATGTAATGCAAATAGAAATAGAACAGACATACCTGCAGCAGCCTGTTGGGCCGAAAGGGCCCAAGCACCTGGACCAGCATATGAAGGTCAAGTGACTGATCACTTAAATAATTTAAGGACCAGCGGAAATTTGTGAAAAAAATGAAATCTTTAAAATTTTCAAATATACCAAATACAAAAAAGGAGCGATTATATATTTATAGTATTAATAATTTTATTGGCTTTTTCATATATGATTTTGATCTGCAGGTAATAAGGGGTCAACATTCATTTAACCATTCAAACCCAAAATCTAGTGCCAGTAATGATATTTTCTTTTGCGCCCATGATCTGCCCATTCACACATTCGAAATTCAGAAATCACAAAATATTGTCAAATTTGCATCGGACAGGCTGGCAGGGACCAACAGGCACACATGCGCATAAATGCTTCTATTCATATACAAAATATGCAAGTATGCGTGAATAGCAAGTCCAAAAACTTTAAAATGCACACATGCCAACGCTTAGGTACCCTTTCCAACAATAACGAGCTAAAATGCAAGAATTTCGTTTTCATTATTTTCATTATTTCATATTACTGTCCATTCAAAAGGGAAGATATTTGAGAAAAATTTAATTTGTGGGCATTTTTGCTTGTGCGGACACACACACACAAACATTTAAACGGTACCTAGACATAAAGAGAGCATTGAGAGCACTGAGAGTAAGTGCAAGCGAGATAAAAATAAACAGCGATGCCGTTCTATCGCACAAATCATATGGAAGAGAGTAAGCCAAAGCTGTTTCCTGTAGTGTAAGCGATCAAAAGACATCATATGTATATCTTACTCGCTCGTTGGACCAGATGTACCGATATTTTTTGTGTCCACTTTGGTGACACGGCATGTCCCATCTATATGTTCTTTGGTTAGTGATTCAAGCGATGTATGTATCGATAGAATAAGGGAATTTATCGATGTCGGAAATAAGGCAACATCAATAAAAAGGAGGAAAGACGGCACTAATGTTTGAGCGGTTGAACTGAGTGGAAATTAAGAAAAATTGTAGCATAAAGATAAAATAAGAAAAGAGTACGAACTTTACAAATCAGGTGTGGGGTTTGCCCAGTAAATCAAATTGTAAATATAGAAAAGGTGGATAATTTGGTCGATGCGGCGGTTCCAAACTAACATGTTGAGAATGTGGCCTGTTAGCAGATTTCGAGACAAGCAACGCCGACAACGTGGCGCCGGCCTCCGATGAAATTCTGGTAAGAAACAAAATAGCAGAACAACCGTTATGTACAGCACAAAACTTGAACAACGCAAATGCAGACTAATTATGCGAAATAGCGGAAAACTATGTGACCGATGTGACTCGCACTGAGTCAGTGCAAAAAGATGCTTTGAGCATTAAAGATGTTGAAGCTTTGGTACGTGCTTCCTCTGGTGACGATAACTAACCTGTGTCAATTTGGACACGCGATTTCGAGGATATTATGGACCTCCACAAAGTAAACTTGATGAAACGATTTATTTATGCTAAACATCTGCTGGCCGGATCTGCCCAATTATATATGAACAATACTGGAATCTTAACTTGGAAGGACATGACAGAGGAGTTAATCCATATCTTTTAGGGTTAGGGTGAAAACTTGGGGCATTGGGAAGCAGATGGAGTTAAGAAAAAAGAAAAAAAAGAAGAAAGCACTCTTCAGTATTTCGTTGCGATGTGCAGCATAGCTGTGCAAGCAGAGTTGGCAACGAATGACGTCATTCAGTTCATTGTGAAGGGACTGCAATTATCTTGGCGCTAACAGGCGCTGCTGCATTTTTGATTTATTGTACATCGCTGGATGAACTGCTTGAAAAGCTCCTCAATCGATCAGTTTCGTGAAAAGCCAGCAGTTGCTGTTGCTAGTGCTGAAGGTAGCGGAAATACTAAGCCGAGGACATCTTTGGTTCAACAAGAAATAAGGTGCTTTAACTGCCGTCAGTTGGGGCATCGGATAACTGATTGTAAGCAGCCAAAAAGACCCGAGGGAGCCTGCTTCAAATGTTGGAGCACCGAGCATCAGTATCGTCAGTATCGACGACAGGGGGTTAATGGCTGCACAGTGATGCTACAAGAAGAATCCAAATCTGGAGAAAAATTAGAGGAGTGTACGACAATCGCTGTAACGCAGCTGTTTGATTTATGAGTAGCGCCTGGTGAGCAGAGATATTATATTCGTGCTTTTATTGATACCGGTAGTCCAGTAAGTTTCATTGATGAATCATAAGTTTCACAATCTTTAGTATTAAGACCATGCTTTGAAAAATATTATGGATTAGGAGGAAATATTATCCCAATAAAGGCCAGATTGATTTTATTTTATGTGGTAAGATCCAAAGTATTACCCAGCAACGTGTTATTCGGCCGTGATTTCTTGACAAAAATGAATATTAAATTAGTTTATCAAAATAAAATGAAAAAAACGCAAATGATAATAATCAATCTTTGTTCACCAATACTATTGATAATGGGAAAATAAATAATCTACCGTCTAACAAAATAACTTCAGACACCAGTCCATTGCAGCCGACGTGTAACAATGAAAGCGACAACATTAATGAATTTTGCGCAAATATTGATACTTAAATAAATGAAGAGTATAATGTCGGGCCAGGTTTTGGCAAGCAGGCAACTGACGAATATACTGTACTGATAGATCAAGATATTTGAGTAGCAAAAGTGACAATACCACACGTCAGAGACAGCAGATGACTATTAGATTAACTGATACAACACCATTTCATTGTACACCCAGACGTCTTATTATTAAAGAGAGATAGTGGCCGAAATTGTTGAGGACTTATTAAAAAAAAATATAATACGGCCTAGTGCGGCTCCATATGCATCTCCCATTGTTCTAGTAAAAAAGAAATCGGGAGAGATTCATATGTGTGTTGATTATAGAGACCGTAATTAACATACTGTTCGTGATATTTTATTTATTTATTTACTTATTCAATACTAGCGGGTATAACCCGGCCTTGCCCGTGGCACGTATGTTATAAAATCAATGTTCTCAAACAAATTCGAAATGATTTTGAAACTGATCGGACGGTAAACAAATAACTTTCTGTTTGTGGTGGAGGCGTCGGATAAGTAAAAATAGTCGTCTTCAAATCAAACAATGGTTTTTTGCTTTAAATTGTAGTAGGTTTTATTTCACTTGTGGCTGCATATAACGAACTTTACATTAGAAGTGATTTGCATTTTCTTGTGTCAAAACGGTTGAGGTGGAGTGGAGATCGTGGGGAGAGTTCTGAGCGTACTTTGGATCCTATTTGAGAGTGAGTCTCTCTCAGTGAGTGAGTCTGTCTCACTGAGTGACTCTCTCACACTGAGTGAGGCTCAGTCGATGCTGTGTTCAGACTAGCAATGAACTGGCATGAACATTCTCCCCCCCCCTGGCAATATGCAGATTGCAAGGATTACTATTGCGTGCATGTGCCAGAGAGTATCCATCCAAACTTAGTATTTTGAGCCATCGGCAGACCGCCTTGGCTCGGGAGGATACCTGGTAGGATGATGTCTGGGTAGACGTCGGCGCCGAGTACCAAAGGTACTGGAGATGGACGGAACCAGTCGTTGTCCGCCAAAGCGACGTTGCTAAACGGGTCCTTCATGTCCGCTCTGATAGCTCGGGCTGGAGTTATGCAGCTGAGTTGCGGGTCAGCCATTAAGACCACCTCTCGAGACATCTGAGTTGTCTTGGAGCGTAGCACGGCTGTGCACGCTCCTTCTGCGCCAATGCGTGTGACGGAAAGGCCATAGGCCCTTGCCACGGTTGCATTAATGCGGCTTACTGAACAACATGGATCGATCAGAGCCCGAGTCACAAGGGTCTTTTTCCCGGTGTCGAGCAGCACTATGGCGGTGGGCAGTATACTGACCCCCTTGTGCTGGAGAAGGGACGTAAGCGACGTCCGTATAGTAGCACGTCTCGGGCTTGGGGGTGATGTGCCGCTGGAGGGCGAGGAGCCAGAAGCTCTTCTTGTGGGCCTGTTGTCTGACCGAGAGGGTCGAGCGCTGCGGGGATCACGCATGTGGAGTAAGGTGTGGTGGTCCTTTTTGCAAATTTTGCACTTGGCTCCACTGCGACATGATTCCCCTGAATGCTGATGAGCCAGGCAGTTGGAGCAATATTTGTTAATCAAAACGGCTCGGAGACGCTTCTCGGGCGTGAGCTTCAAGAAGCGCTGGCACTTGCGTAGCGCATGGATGCCTCTACACACCCGGCATCTAAAAGAGTCCGTTCCTTGGCGTTGATTGGATGCCTTCGCTGACGGTGCCATGCTGGTTCTCTGCAGAGGTGTGAACTGGAGAATAAGATGTAGGAAAGGTGTTATTATATGATGGTTTTGTTTTGAAAGAGGGATTAGTTGCCTTTAAGGATTAGTCGGTGGTGTTATTTGCCTCAGTAGGAAGAAGGACCAATTTGGCTATTGGCCTTCGGATGACACAACGAGCGGTAAGCACGTCCACTACGCGGACCTTATCATCTGTGCCTGGGCAAGCCAGCTGGACTCGGCCAAGGCGCCATTCATTTATTGGTAGGTTATCTTCCTTGATAATCACCATATCACCGACTTGGAGGTCCCTTGTAGGGGACTGCCATTTGTTTCGCTTATGGAGCTCTTTTAAAAATTCTTTTTTATCAGGCTAGATTTTAAGAAATCTAATTCTGCTTGTAGCTTTTGGGCTGTTGCCCAAGTAGGTGGTGGTGATTTTGTGTATAATAGCCACTTAATGTGGGCTATTCTTTTATTTATTTTAGTTTTCTGACCACCGCTGTGTTTTCCCATTGGCGCACTCTACTCAGTCAGTAATTTGTATTTTTCCGGTCCACGATCCTCGTCATCTGCCTCCAGGCAGGGATTTATTTATCCTCTTTTCTTTGTGTTCGACTGCCTCCAGGCAGAGATTTATTTATCCTCTTGTTTTTCTACTGCCTCCAGGCAGGGAATCGTGGTCCTGTCACGGTCGCCATGTAATGATGATATCTTCCACTTGTATAGTATTGTAAGTGTTCCACTTATAAATGTTTCAAACTGATAGATAAAGGCACGTCAGTGCTGTTTTGCATTGTTCATAAGAATGATTTTATTCTGAGTCAATATAATCACTAACCAAAAAACATATAGACTGGACATGCCGTGTACAATAGGTGGTCTCCAAAAATTGGTTTGCATGTGGTCCAACGAGCGAGTAAGATATACATATGACATCTTTTGATCGCTCACACTACAGGAAACTCCTTTGACTTACTCTCTTCCATATGATTTGTGCGATAGAACGGCATCGCTGTTTTTTATCTCGCTCCCACTACAGGAAACTGCTTTGGCTTACTCTCTTCCATATAATTTGTGCGATAGAACGGCATCGCTGTTTATTTTTATCTCGCTCGCACTTACTCTCAGTGCTCTCAATGCTCTCTTTATGTCTAGGTACCGTTTAAATGTTTGTGTGTGCATGTGGCCGCACAAGCAAAAATGCCCACAAATTCAATTTTTGTCAAAAGTCGGTGGCATTTCTTCCCTTTTGAGGGGACGAGTAATATGAAATCATGAAAGGGTTTGCCAAGTCGATGCGAAATTCTTTCATTTTAGCTCGGTATTGCTGGAAAGGGTACCTAAGCGTTGGCATGTGTGCATTTTAAAGTTTTTGGACTTGCTATTCACGCATACTTGCGTATTTTGTATTTGAATAGAAGCATTTATGCGCATGTGTGCCTGTTGGTCCCTGCCTGCCTGTCCGATCCAAATTTCACAATATTTTGTGATTTCTGAATTTCGAGCTCTGCGCACACACACACACAGACACAAATGTGTGTGAATGGGCAGATCATGGGCGCAAAAGAAAATATCATTTTTGGCCCGCGGTTGTCGCGCACCCTTCTTTTTTTAATTTTGGGGTTGAATCGATGAAAAAATGTTGACCCCTCAATACCTGCAGATCCAATTCATATACATATGAAAAAGCTAAATATTTAAAGACAATAAAATTATGAATACTATAAATATATAATTGCTCTTATTTTGTATTTGGTATATTTGAATATTTTAAAGATTTTATTTTTTACACAATTTTCCTAAAACTAGTTAAGTGATCAGTCACTTGACCTACATATGCAGGTACAGGTGCTTGGCAAAATTTTACCCTTTCCACCCAACGGGCTGCTGCAGGGGTTCAAACCCAACATCATAAAAAGAAGGGTGCGTGACAACCGCAGGCCAAAAATGATATTTTCTTTTGCGCCCATGATCTGCCCATTCACACACATTTGTGTCTGTGTGTGTGTGTGCGCAGAGCTCGAAATTCAGAAATCACAAAATATTGTCAAATTTGGATCGGACAGGCAGGCAGGGACCAACAGGCACACATGCGCATAAATGCTTCTATTCAAATACAAAATACGCAAGTATGCGTGAATAGCAAGTCCAAAAACTTTAAAATGCACACATGCCAACGCTTAGGTACCCTTTCCAGCAATACCGAGCTAAAATGAAAGAATTTCGCATCGACTTGGCAAACCCTTTCATGATTTCATATTACTCGTCCCCTCAAAAGGGAAGAAATGCCACCGACTTTTGACAAAAATTGAATTTGTGGGCATTTTTGCTTGTGCGGCCACATGCACACACAAACATTTAAACGGTACCTAGACATAAAGAGAGCATTGAGAGCACTGAGAGTAAGTGCGAGCGAGATAAAAATAAACAGCGATGCCGTTCTATCGCACAAATTATATGGAAGAGAGTAAGCCAAAGCAGTTTCCTGTAGTGGGAGCGAGATAAAAAACAGCGATGCCGTTCTATCGCACAAATCATATGGAAGAGAGTAAGTCAAAGGAGTTTCCTGTAGTGTGAGCGATCAAAAGATGTCATATGTATATCTTACTCGCTCGTTGGACCAGATGCAAACCAATTTTTGGAGACCACCTATTGTACACGGCATGTCCAGTCTATATGTTTTTTGGTTAGTGATATAATGCACTAAGCCTATGGATACATGTATACCACTTACCAAATAACATATAGATGGGACATGCCGTACTAGAAATTTGGTCACCAAAAAAAATATGCATCTGGTCCAACGAGCGAGTAAGATATACATATGATATCTTTTGATCGCTCACACTACAGGAAACTCCTTTGGCTTACTCACTTCCATATGATAAAAGGAAGAGCGAGATAAAAATAAACAGCGATTCCGTTCTATCGCACAAATCATTTGGAAAGTTCGTTTTTTTTTGCGATGATTTATCGATAGAAATATCGGTGTTGTGAAAAATTTGAATGTGTTCATTATCATAAACAGCTGATATTGCAACGAAGGCAAGCGGTAACTTTAAATTATAATTTTAAATTTTAATATTCCCACAGTTCTGAATATTTAAAATTGGCCATATCCCGAAAAGAGTCCATTAAATGAAGCCCCTACTTCGGGGCCGTATTACTTGACTTGGAAGGAAATCTTTGTGGTGCATATGTTAATTAAAGCAAGTCGATCAGCTGCTTATGTAAAGAAGCGGCACTTTTGCAACTCGCATGTTACCGACAGCCGATGGAGCACCAATATGTGAAATTTGAAAATGTGACATTTCTTAAGCATAGTGGACAAAGGCTTTAAGGCTATTAAAATTTTTGCCATGCCAGCATCTTCCCATTAATTTCAACATATCTGAGAGATGCTCCTATCCTACACTGTTCCATACAACATTTAGCCGATTATGTTTTGTATATCCGTAAACAATCGTCAAGCCATTTTAAAAGTTTATTTAAAATGTCTGACGAGCGTGCAAGTAAGTATTGAAGACAATATGATATATTTATATTTATTTAATTTTTGTGTCTATGGGTGTAAATTCCCACATATATGTATATGTATGTAAATGAAGATGTCAGAGCAGATTAAGCAATCCGGGTGCACTGGGGGATGGACTCACATCCAATCTAAATTGAATAACCTCACCCGGAAATTTGAGTAAGATTTTATGTTGCAGTGGAAAATAGATTAATTGAATATATTTCTGACAAGAAAAACAATACAATTGGACCGAGTAGAGGAGCTCCATATACATGGGTCCATAATAAATTGACCAAATATTAGGCTCGTTTAAGAGCTATGCTGCTGTCACGGTGGATAACCATGGTAAGTTGTAATAATAGTGTTTAATTATTTAGTTGGTATGCGTATTATATTTTGCATATTTTACCGAGTACCTTCAAATATACAACAGTTGCCAATTTTATTATTAATTCATATTTTTGGGGCTTTTTTTGACAACTATCAGTTGTAAATATGTTAGTTGTTCGAAGTTAGCAATGTGAACGCAGTTTCACATCTTCATTTCATTAGTTTCCCGAAAATATACTCAGTGTAAATTGACCATTACTTGCGACTGCAAGTATCCACATTAAAAATATTGGATTTAAGTCCATGATCTATAAAAACAGTAGTAGACGCTATCATGCACCCGATTTTTGAATGAACTAATAATTCAGTTCGCATAAGCATTCGTTGCACGTGACATTATTGGCAGCATCGATAGTTTGGGTAGTTTTTTTGCATTCTTTATTATCGGCCACGCCGATATCTTGTCAGAGTATCAGGGGTGAAGCCGCCACACAGCGTCTTCTTCTTCCAATTAATGGAAGAGTGGCAACGCCGGGCTTGCGATCCACGGTTCCGAAAGGGGAACGAAATGTTATTGTCCGCCCGATTCGGTCCTAAAGAGATTATAGGGAGAGCGGATCGCATGCACTAATGGCCTTGGCCTTCATTGGGGCCCGTTGACCCAAGAATGCAGCTGTGCATATGGGCAGCAACGGTGACCACCAAATGTATGCGTGTGCCGAAATTCGGCACCGATGATGTTGATGCCCAACAATTTATAGCAGTGGAGTTCGACTTGGTCAGCGGTTAACGGCAGGCGTGTTGTGCACAAACGCACCTTTGAGATAAATTTAAAGAACCCATAAATTAACATTATGTAATGCAAATAGAAATAGAACAGACATACCTGCAGCAGCCTGTTGGGCCGAAAGGGCCCAAGCACCTGGACCAGCATATGAAGGTCAAGTGACTGATCACTTAAATAATTTAAGGACCAGCGGAAATTTGTGAAAAAAATGAAATCTTTAAAATTTTCAAATTTACCAAATACAAAAAAGGAGCGATTATATATTTATAGTATTAATAATTTTATTGGCTTTTTCATATATGATTTTGATCTGCAGGTAATAAGGGGTCAACATTCATTTAACCATTCAAACCCAAAATCTAGTGCCAGTAATGATATTTTCTTTTGCGCCCATGATCTGCCCATTCACACATTCGAAATTCAGGCATTTTTGCTTGTGCGGACACACACACACAAACATTTAAACGGTACCTAGACATAAAGAGAGCATTGAGAGCACTGAGAGTAAGTGCAAGCGAGATAAAAATAAACAGCGATGCCGTTCTATCGCACAAATCATATGGAAGAGAGTAAGCCAAAGCTGTTTCCTGTAGTGTAAGCGATCAAAAGACATCATATGTATATCTTACTCGCTCGTTGGACCAGATGTACCGATATTTTTTGTGTCCACTTTGGTGACACGGCATGTCCCATCTATATGTTCTTTGGTTAGTGATTCAAGCGATGTATGTATCGATAGAATAAGGGAATTTATCGGTGTCGGAAATAAGGCAACATCAATAAAAAGGAGGAAAGACGGCACTAATGTTTGAGCGGTTGAACTGAGTGGAAATTAAGAAAAATTGTAGCATAAAGATAAAATATGAAAAGAGTACGAACTTTACAAATCAGGTGTGGGGTTTGCCCAGTAAATCAAATTGTAAATATAGAAAAGGTGGATAATTTGGTCGATGCGGCTCCAAACTAACATGTTGAGAATGTGGCCTGTTAGCAGGTTTCGAGACAAGCAACGCCGACAACGTGGCGCCGGCCTCCGATGAAATTCTGGTAAGAAACAAAATAGCAGAACAACCGTTATGTACAGCACAAAACTTGAACAACGCAAATGCAGACTAATTATGCGAAATAGCGGAAAACTATGTGACCGATGTGACTCGCACTGAGTCAGTGCAAAAAGATGCTTTGAGCATTAAAGATGTTGAAGCTTTGGTACGTGCTTCCTCTGGTGACGATAACTAACCTGTGTCAATTTGGACACGCGATTTCGAGGATATTATGGACCTCCACAAAGTAAACTTGATGAAACGATTTATTTATGCTAAACATCTGCTGGCCGGATCTGCCCAATTATATATGAACAATACTGGAATCTTAACTTGGAAGGACATGACAGAGGAGTTAATCCATATCTTTTAGGGTTAGGGTGAAAACTTGGGGCATTGGGAAGCAGATGGAGTTAAGAAAAAAGAAAAAAAAGAAGAAAGCACTCTTCAGTATTTCGTTGCGATGTGCAGCATAGCTGTGCAAGCAGAGTTGGCAACGAATGACGTCATTCAGTTCATTGTGAAGGGACTGCAATTATCTTGGCGCTAACAGGCGCTGCTGCATTTTTGATTTATTGTACATCGCTGGATGAACTGCTTGAAAAGCTCCTCAATCGATCAGTTTCGTGAAAAGCCAGCAGTTGCTGTTGCTAGTGCTGAAGGTAGCGGAAATACTAAGCCGAGGACATCTTTGGTTCAACAAGAAATAAGGTGCTTTAACTGCCGTCAGTTGGGGCATCGGATAACTGATTGTAAGCAGCCAAAAAGACCCGAGGGAGCCTGCTTCAAATGTTGGAGCACCGAGCATCAGTATCGTCAGTATCGACGACAGGGGGTTAATGGCTGCACAGTGATGCTACAAGAAGAATCCAAATCTGGAGAAAAATTAGAGGAGTGTACGACAATCGCTGTAACGCAGCTGTTTGATTTATGAGTAGCGCCTGGTGAGCAGAGATATTATATTCGTGCTTTTATTGATACCGGTAGTCCAGTAAGTTTCATTGATGAATCATAAGTTTCACAATCTTTAGTATTAAGACCATGCTTTGAAAAATATTATGGATTAGGAGGAAATATTATCCCAATAAAGGCCAGATTGATTTTAATTTATGTGGTAAGATCCAAAGTATTACCCAGCAACGTGTTATTCGGCCGTGATTTCTTGACAAAAATGAATATTAAATTAGTTTATCAAAATAAAATGAAAAACGCAAATGATAATAATCAATCTTTGTTCACCAATACTATTGATAATGGGAAAATAAATAATCTACCGTCTAACAAAATAACTTCAGACACCAGTCCATTGCAGCCGACGTGTAACAATGAAAGCGACAACATTAATGAATTTTGCGCAAATATTGATACTTAAATAAATGAAGAGTATAATGTCGGGCCAGGTTTTGGCAAGCAGGCAACTGACGAATATACTGTACTGATAGATCAAGATATTTGAGTAGCAAAAGTGACAATACCACACGTCAGAGACAGCAGATGACTATTAGATTAACTGATACAACACCATTTCATTGTACACCCAGACGTCTTATTATTAAAGAGAGATAGTGGCCGAAATTGTTGAGGACTTATTAAAAAAAAATATAATACGGCCTAGTGCGGCTCCATATGCATCTCCCATTGTTCTAGTAAAAAAGAAATCGGGAGAGATTCATATGTGTGTTGATTATAGAGACCGTAATTAACATACTGTTCGTGATATTTTATTTATTTATTTACTTATTCAATACTAGCGGGTATAACCCGGCCTTGCCCGTGGCACGTATGTTATAAAATCAATGTTCTCAAACAAATTCGAAATGATTTTGAAACTGATCGGACGGTAAACAAATAACTTTCTGTTTGTGGTGGAGGCGTCGGATAAGTAAAAATAGTCGTCTTCAAATCAAACAATGGTTTTTTGCTATTGATTGTAGTAGGTTTTATTTCACTTGTGGCTGCATATAACGAACTTTACATTAGAAGTGATTTGCATTTTTCTAGTGTCAAAACGGTTGAGGTGGAGTGGAGATCGTGGGGAGAGTTCTGAGCGTACTTTGGATCCTATTTGAGAGTGAGTCTCTCTCAGTGAGTGAGTCTGTCTCACTGAGTGACTCTCTCACACTGAGTGAGGCTCAGTCGATGCTGTGTTCAGACTAGCTATGAACTGGCATGAACATTCTCCCCCCCCCTGGCAATATGCAGATTGCAAGGATTACTATTGCGTGCATGTGCCAGAGAGTATCCATCCAAACTTAGTATTTTGAGCCATCGGCAGACCGCCTTGGCTCGGGAGGATACCTGGTAGGATGATGTCTGGGTAGACGTCGGCGCCGAGTACCAAAGGTACTGGAGATGGACGGAACCAGTCGTTGTCCGCCAAAGCGACATTGCTAAACGGGTCCTTCATGTCCGCTCTGACAGCTCGGGCTGGAGTTATGCAGCTGAGTTGCGGGTCAGCCATTAAGACCACCTCTCGAGACATCTGAGTTGTCTTGGAGCGTAGCACGGCTGTGCACGCTCCTTCTGCGCCAATGCGTGTGACGGAAAGGCCATAGGCCCTTGCCACGGTTGCATTAATGCGGCTTACTGAACAACATGGATCGATCAGAGCCCGAGTCTCAAGGGTCTTTTTCCCGGTGTCGAGCAGCACTATGGCGGTGGGCAGTATACTGACCCCCTTGTGCTGGAGAAGGGACGTAAGCGACGTCCGTATAGTAGCACGTCTCGGGCTTGGGGGTGATGTGCCGCTGGAGGGCGAGGAGCCAGAAGCTCTTCGAAAGGTCCGGCAAAGTCTACACCCGTATGTGTGAAGGGTCGGGAAAAGGTTGATCTCGCCCTTGGGAGCTCGCCCATAAGTTGGGTCTGGAGTCGTCTGCGGTGTATTACACAGACCTTGCAGGAGTTTATGGTAGATTTTACCAGGACCTTGAGCTTTGGGATCCAGTATTTTGCTCTTATGAGGCGCATTACCAACTGATTGCCTCCGTGAAAACAAATGAGGTGGGTAAATCGGACCAGGAGGCGTGAAAAATCACAATTGGCCGGAATGATTATGGGGTGTCGCTCATCATAGCCTAACGAGGTTGACGCTCTCACCCGTGCACAGGATCGCAGAATACCCCTTTGATCGATGAAAGGGGTTAAATTGCGAATGCTGCTTGATCCTTGAATTGGCTTCTTATCGA